TTTTTTTTTTTTTTTTTTTTTTTTTTTTTTTTGGTACCGGGGATTGAACTTTGGTCCTTGCGCTTGCAAGGCAGGCCACGGAACCGCTGAGCTAAATCCCCGGCTCAAGGATGTATATTTTCTTTTTCTTTTTTGACAGGGTCTTGCTACGTATTCCAGGCTGGGCTTGAAGTTGCAGCAATGTTTTTTGCCTCAGGCTCTTGGTGCTAGGATTATGGTGATCACCATCACACCTGGCTAATTTTATATTTTTATAGAATAAAAGATATCTATAATACTTTCAAGATCTTTACTGATTAAAGAATACAGTGTAAAAAGTACCGGTGATCTTACCTGATTAGGTATCCTCAGAGGGGGCCGGGGACCGCCAGGGTACCGAGGTGACATAAAAGGCTAATAAGGCAAGCAAACAAAACAGAAAACAGCACACGGTAAAGTTCAGATCTAAAACATTTAAAATTAATACAAAATGTAAGTCAACTGACTTTGTGGTTGTTTTCAGCAGAAACCTCAAAGATATTAAAATAATTACAGTAAAATTTTAAAAAACTCATTAAGGTAATGACATCTAAAATATGATTAAGAAAGAAGCAACTGAATCTCAACAAATACTTCCAGAGAAGATCTGCTGTGATTTTATTATGTTAGGTTTGAATATAAACTTTTGACTAAACTCTAAAGTTTGGTCATCAATTTTCTTTACTAATTTCAAAATTGTCAAACTATTTTTTTTTTTTATGTAGCTCTATTTAAAATGGCAAAGAAAATTTCTTTTCCAGGGGTCACTTGTAGACAGAAAAAGGTTTCGGTTTTCTCTTACTATGGGTTTGTTATAATTCAATATTGATTACAAATTTTAAAATTAAAAGTTCTTCGCATCCTTTGACTTTAGCAGATTTTGAAGTGCATACATTCAATAAGAGAAAGAATGGCCTCTCAGTGAAAGCCACGTTTATTTATGTGGCTGGATTAGCAGGGGTTCCTCAGGCTGGAAGAAGTCTTCCAGTCCAGACCTGTCTGTCCAGGGTTGAACGGAAAGAGAATCACTTAGATTTCAGTCACTTAGACTGGGGCATCAAATTATTACATGTATTAAATTATTCAAAATCAAATTTTATTATATTTTTCTAAAACATCAAAAAAGTTATTATTTTGTTTAGTTATACCTCCACCCATAGCTACACCCCTGTAAAATTCCTTGGGCAAGTCAAGTTTAGAGCACATTTTAGATACATTTGTAGTTTAAAGCACAAGTTTAGATACATTTGTAATGTATTGCCTACACGTTTTCAGAAAATCAGGCCTGCGGTGCATGACAGTGCACGTTTTCCATGGTTGTTTTAAAAGAAGTCCCTGAAAAATGAAAGCCTAAGAAACTTGTGCCATTCCAAGGACTGGCTCCAGGATGAAGCGAGTAGTTCAGCTCCTTCTCATCTGTCCGTGTGCCCAAGAGTTCTCTTTGTCAGGACAGAAATTCGGGCCATCTGGGGAGCACCATCAGCCACAGCCGATGACATTTAAGTAGATTCTCCGATTTTAACAAAGTTGACCCAGAAGGTTTAGTTTTCAAGTATTTGACTAAAGTTGTCTCTCTGAAGATACATCCTTAGTTGGATTAAGAAGTAAACCATATACTACCAGAGGAAGGTATTTTTTCTTTCCTTTCTAAACCTTTCAGTTTTACTTATAAAACTCATTTCAATTCAGGACTCCTGCCTAAATTTTAACAATTAGATATCGGGGCCTTGGTTTTGTAATGGTTGACTTTCTTTAGCAACATAATATTTTATAACATATTCACTAATTCAAAGGGTTATATAAATTTACTGAAATATGGAGAAATAAAAATAGGCTACTGATAATTCCTATTTATAACAAAATTACTTTAAAATGGAATACAGAGTGAAATTATGTGAAAATATTACTAAATACCAAATGTTGAGATAAATATTAAGTGCACCATTTGAAATAAGCATTAGAGATCTGTTATGTCAGCGGGGTCACAGTGCCACTTAACAGAAGGCCTGAAGGGGGAGCTGTTTTCTTTCAGCCATGGCGCAGGGATTGCCTGTTGGTTCCCACCTGACTGGCAGGGTGGCAGGAAGGTCAAGACGTGTCAGCTAGAGAACTGCAAGTCCCTAAAACAAAGTTAGGGGTGAGACTGTCTGCTTTTATTCAACTTATTTCCTCTTTTATGTCTTTCTCAAATTTGTTTTTGGCAAAAAAGATTAAAAATTGAAGATCACTTATAAATGCTAGTTTGTTTCTATACAATCAAAGCATAAAATGACAAAAATCTAGTGAATTTAGATAAAAATATACTTTTATATAAAATGTAAAGGTTGCTTTGGCTAAAGTAGCTGAATGTAAAATCGGTGTTGCTGCAACATAAGCTCTTGATATTCAGACTGGCCCTCACCCTGCATGATGTTCACTTCTGACTGAATTAGCTCGCGGAGGCAGCAATATAGAGCAACAGACAGTATCTCGGCTTCACTGTTAGAAACCAATTGCTTTCAAATGTAATTCAAAATATTAAAACGAATTTAAATTCTTTTATGCTAAAATACTGATCTTCTCAGAGACAATGAGCTGATAACATACATTTTATCTACTGGCCACCACTTTTCCACTCCCTGAACTGTATTACTAACTCTCCTGAGTCCTCGTCTTCAAAAGTGTACTTCCTCTCTGTACTGGGGATAGTGTTTATTTTTGTTTTTGTTTGTTTGTTTTCAATAGTTAGGGCATCAAATATTTTGAAAAATTATTCACTTAATGTGTACAGAAGTTGAGGCCTGGGTTCTAGTTTGGGCATCAAATATTTTGAAAAATTATTCACTTAATGTGTACAGAAGTTGAGGCCTGGGTTCTAGCTTTTGTACCACTGCTGATTAGAAGAGGGGCCTTTAGCTAATATAAGGAGCCTTGAGTTTCCTCAGCCTTCAGATGGGGATGTTCACCCAGGTGATTCCCACCATCCTTATAAAGTGGCAGCCAGCTGGGAAGGTGTGGTGAAATTGGCTCTCTCAACAAAGATTTACCAAACATCCACAGAGACCCCATGCTGGCGACTGGATACCAGGGTTCCCAGGCTTGTAATTAAGAGGAAAAACAAACTTTGGGAACACTGTTCTCTACATCAGTCCACTAATCAGGAACAAATAGTATGTTTCATTCACCAACTGGCAAATTATCAAAGAAAGTCCAAAGAAAATAATATTTCAATCTGGTGCCTTCCCGCAGAAGTCCTATTGCACCCTCCTCCTTGGTAGAACGTGGAGTGCTGTGCCTGACTGAAAACCAAGGCTGCACATTAAAAGCATTTCCAACTTAGGTAGAGCTTACCAGGTACGGTCCTTTATAATGTGAGATGAACTGGGCAGCACAAGGAAACTACATTCCTACAATTTCTTGTTTCTGCACATTTCAGCTACACGCTATGCTATGGACTGATGTCTGTGTCCCCACAAAATCCTGTATCTGACCGCCTGTGTGTCTTCAGGAATGGGACAAGTGTGAATAATATGTATGTATGTATGTATATATATATATATATATATATATATATTTACACATATAGTTGTACAGTATTTATATTACATGTGTACATACATGGGAGAGAGAGACAATCTCTCAGCCTGTCTCTTCTCTGTGGCAGTGAACATACCATCATCTGCAAACTAGTAAGATGGCCCTTTTGTAACCTTCAGGATTTGGATGAATACGTTTCTATCCTATAAGCAACCCAGACGATGGTATTTTTATTATAGCAGCCTGACTAAGATGCCCTAGAAGGAATGAGATAATGTAAAGGGAGAGAAATAAAAAATATATACTATCAGAAAGTTAATAAATACTTGATGACAAAATGAAAGGAAAAAATACTCTAATAGAAATACAAACGAAGTGTCCAGCTCATTTCCTCCAAGTAGTCTTTTGGAGAAAAAAATCACACCACTTAGAATTATAATTTATTTCAAAATGAGTGTCATTAAATTTTAAAAGATTTTTATTTTCCATTATATCTAGAAATTATTCATGGAATTTTAAACTTCTGCTTTCCTAGAAAGGAGATTTTCCCCCTTTATTCTGAGCTGTTTCTGCTAGTGCAAGGTAATAGCTTCTCTCTTCTTTGATCTTTCCTAAGGCCTTTGTATTTCATCCTAATTCCTAAGAATTAGTTGGAACTGGCTCTTTCTCTCCTCCTCTACTAACTGAAGATCAAGTTCTCAGTCCCATTCTTTTCTGCTCTGAGGGTCCCAGATCATTCAATGGAATTCTTTTATAAATAACTCACTGGTAGTGAAATTACAGTGAGGGAAAACATTTTACATCTACTTCTTTGAAGACATATATGGTAAAACTGCACGTCTTAAATGATACATTATTTGAAGGTCAATTTTGTTAATATTTTCTAAAAGTTTTCGTAGTTTCTAAAAGCATATTAATATGATCCATCAACACCATAATATTCTCTGTTCTTCAAATCACTCTGTGCTCTCCTTTCTCTGCCAAATAAATTTCTATTGATCTCCCAAGTATGAGTTTAAATGCCATTTTCTCTTTAGGGTCTCTCCATAGGGTCCTTTCCCTCTAACTCTGTGGTGTTTTCTTTATATGATTTATGAGGGAGGATTTAGTATGCTACAAATATAGCAAGTATTTGATAGGAAGAGTACCCACTTCAGAGGAAAACACACACAACAATATTAGAGTAGGGATGGCACTGAGTCAAGGTAACTCACCTGTAAACTAATACTAGCACTCCTTAGAATCTCTAAAGTCAATGCAGTAATATATATATCAGCTTTTAACATATTGTGACTATTTCAGCTTGGCTTTAGAAGTTCTATACATCTTGGTCCTGACATATAAAGTGATAATAAAGACAATTTTTAATAATGAAAAAGTATGAAAAACTTTCTTTAAAATGTCAATCAGTTAAGTATGTTTTATATCCTTTATTTTACTTTATGAGCACAATTTAGAAGAATGTAATGATGAAAGAGTTATCAGTGATAGTTCTTTAGAGTGGCAGAGATAATATTTAAGATAGTTTATACTGTGGAAAACTTAGAAGCCCAAGGTAATTCTGAAATGTACAATTACCTAGGACTTCTCTAAAGTAATTTTGTACTTTTTTGAAGACAAAGTCATCCTTGTGAAATTTGCTTCCCAAGTTTAAGAAAGAAAACTTAAGTGACTGCAATATAAAATTAACAACTTTAAGAAAACATGAAATTAAAACAATTTAGGAAGCCACCATTCACTTAATAAATGACTATACTTTGTGAAATGACTTACTTGATGTTTTACAAGTTGTTATTCATTTATAGTAAAATGTTACTCCTTATATAATCTTATTTGAATATGTCTTTTTGACACATTTT